ATCATTCGTACCAGACTACTATAATTAGGGTTGCCACTTATTCGGATATAACTTGAATTCTCAAGTTTGCGTGATGGCGCATCTAGTGATGATGCATAATTTATGTTTCGAAGAAAAATTTTAAAACAGATTTTAATTTCATTAATTGACAGCCCCAGTTATAAAAAATGATATGATATTACATGTGCTGTACCTTATTTGCTTATTTAAAATACGTTTTTAATTTTACTTTTATGAATAAAATTCGCCAAAACAAATGACTAATAGGCGAGGACTCGTTAATTTGACGAGTGGCTTTTACTAAACATAGTCTGATGTTAAATTAACTCAACTCACAATCGGTCAGTAACATGCTTTAAACAAAATGAAAGCACACAGTACCCTCATATGTTGCTGAGACCTCGACGATTTGCATAATACCGTGTTTGCTTAATGCTACGAGTACGGGTCTTAACAACTTAATATTACTCCATGTATATTTGAGTTATTCAACATGCCGTTTTAAACGAAGGATTCATAAATAGACTTCCTTAGTACACAAAACAATGTATTTAAAGTAATGTGACATTTTTATTTAGATAAACAAAACAACGCACGTTATGTTTGGTGAACTAAAAAGCTTAACTCTACGTAGCCGCGTAGTATAGCGTAGAGGTAATTATCTCGTAGCTGTTGTCGAGACGTGTGAGAATGAATAATTAACATTCTTCAAATTTAATCTTATATAATAAATATAAAAAATTTTGAATCATTATTTTCATAATAAATGTCACATCGTACATTTAAAGTCAATAAAGTGACTGATATGACGTAAAGACAGGTGAGGATACCGCGGTACTACCGTCATGCGCATGCACCGGGTGACCGACTCGATACCCCGTTCACCACCTGCAGGTGCCTGGTCACTGTCGCTGTCAATCGAGTCAAGTCAAGTTCTATCAAAAGTCTAAGGCACACTATACTGCCCTGATAATACACCGGTTATTGTTCACCCTTGTATACAGCGTCGTTATTGTTCCAAACGCGAAACCGAAATCATAAATGACCCTATGTGTTTCGCAATGCAAGCAACCAACCACTTTCGAAGACCTTTAAAAGCATGCCCTGGCATGCAATGGGCTGCTGGGACACGACTTTTTTCACCAGCAAACCTACGCAGACCCACGCTCGACCGAACCGGCGATAGATTCAAAAGTACCAACTAGTGCGGGAGAATAAAAATGAAACCGGTTACCCGCATTAACTCATTCAGGGGCCGCGCAATTTAAACTATGTGGTTCGTACCGAACAGTTTTAGAAAGTTACAAAACTTCTGATTGGTTGAAAGCGGATATTGCGTTAGGTGTCTCAGCTCGTACTAATACCACTCAACAACGTTCTAAAAGGAAATAGATTGAACTTCTAAACAGGAAATGAACTCTGAGGAGTACAATATGAAATGCCACTACCACGTGACATTTGTAATAATGCATTTTGTATCTCTGTTTTATTGAGGAACGAAAGGAATGACTATAGATTAAGGTTGTCGCTTCACATGTGGCTATACGAAGAGATAGCCTTAAAAATTAGGGTTGTCTCTTCGAATATTAATTTAGAAATTACATTTGTCAACCCTATTGACCTTAAACATAATTCCAAGCTCTTGTTATTGGTTTATTGGGTAGGGTATAGAGCGAAATGTCAAGTAATATATAAGGAATGTAATAAAGGTAAACCCTTCCCTATATGATATTTAGGTATATAACAAAGCTATGATTGAGTTTCATATCATATTATAAGGGACATTCCTATTATTCTCTATGTACGGTTCACTGGAAACATTACAGTAAGTTTTCACTGTTTTTTTTATAATATAAGGTGGCAAACGAGCAAGCGGCCACCTGAATCCACCTAAATGGCAAGCTACTGCTGCCTACAAACATCCGCAATTGCAGAAGCGTTGTCTACCCTTAATAGACGGAGGAGGAGACGCACATAAAGAGGACATTTCCCCTTCCTATGAGTCTCCTCCGCCGTCAAATACACTTTTCCTTCCCATACTTTCCTGTTAAGAAAAGGGTGAAAAGGGAAAGGGACTAAAATTAGGTCTCCGGCACCACACTCATCAGACGAAACGCGGAATTGCTTCCACTTCACGCCTGTTTTCTGTGTGGCGAGCGGGCCCATTCGTGCAAAATAAAGCGCGCTCTACCACTGTTAAAAACAACATGAATATCTTAGTTTAGTTTATCTGCAGGAGTGATAGTAGAGTTTAGAGCAATTAAAAAACGTTTTATTTCCAGAAAATAATAAAACAGAGTTATAAATAACTTTTCAACTGAATGAGAAAATTATTTAATGAAAGTTATTTACAAAACCATTTCATTTCGAATTTAAATTAAACGTTAAAAGGAAATGTAAAGAATTAAACATCTCTCGAAGCGAATTACCGAGTTAACTGAATGAAATATTTATTACAAAGAAGAGCTAAAGAATTGTCGTGAGGATTTCTCCTTTATAAGCGAAGATTATGGTAAACTTAAAGCCTTTCTATAACAGAACTCTGTTGTAGAAATTACTAAGCTGTATCTGTAGGTCTGTGTAATAAATAATTATTTCATATGTTACTTGTAACATGGAAATATGTAAATTTGTTATCTACCTTGTTTCACATTAAGTCAATTGTATATCAGATTTATTGTAAAAGGTTAGCATGGTATGGGCATGTTATGAGAGATGAATTGCATGTTACAAGGAGAAGGTTAGTTAAGAATGTGGAAGGGTACACCGATAGAGGTAGACCTAGTAAGAGATGGATGGATTGCATGAAAGGTTACATGATCAAAAAGGGAGTGATGTCTGAGACGACGTATGATAGAGTTATGTGGAGAACAAAAACCTGTTGCGCTGACCCTACGGGAGTAGGATAAGGAGGATGGTGATGATTGTAAACCAGTTTACGTCCACGACGCCTGGAATTAAAAAGAAACGAAAGTAAGTAGCCTATGTGTTCATTCTGACTATCCTCAAAATTTATGCCAAATTTCATCAAGATTGGGCTACAAGATGAACAAACTTTTGCATTATAATATTATTAAGAAGATAGAAAAATGTACAGCAACACTTGAGATATAGCCAGTTTTCTTTTGAGTAAAAATAAAATAACTTAGTATTCAACATAGCAAATTTTAAAAGTTTAAATGCCCTCAAGTAACGAGAACTGAATGACAATGAGGGAAGCTGGATTTCACTTATGTATTTTTATGAGAATAAAAACTCTTTTATTCTGTTATCATAACGTGAAGAACATTCTAGAATAGACGCGGATTTTTATTAAGATCTATTTAGATGTATTGGAAAAACTCCGCTAAAAACAGGCGTTTCCAAAAATGGCAATGGAATTCTACAGTTATATTAAACATTTTTATCATTATTTTCTGTATATTTTACACCATTTGCACACCATTTTACACCATTTACCTTTTACACCTCGTTAATCTAACCAGAGGTTAGTTTCCTGTTATTACTAAATAATTAGATGATATGTATGTCTCGATTTATTCTATAAGTCATGGTCATCTCCGCTACTTTATCCTACTCCCGTAGTTCAGCGCACCGGGTTTTCATACTCCAAATAACTCTATCATCTCAGACATTCCCTTCCTGATCACGTCACCTTTCACGCAATCCATTCTCTTATTAACTCTACCTCTACCGGTGTACCTACAATTTATTCTGCAAATATATTTTATAATTACATATAAGGGCATAATTAAACGACAGGGTCGGTTAATGAAATTTCCTATGCCATATTAACGTCACTTAGCGTAATGAAATGCGTTATCAAACGAGAATAATTCAATTTATTGCTACGGATCGCAGAAAATTAATAGGTGAATTTGACCTTTACGTTTGAAGTCCTGTCTATTTTATAGCAGTTCCTACCTTGTAGAAGTGAGGTTTATTGATGTGGGCTGAGCACCCACGGTTAACATAGATACGGTCCATTGTACTGTGCCGGTCACTTGATAAAATTGCATAAAGCCTTGACATCCGTTGGTAGTTATTATAGGACCGCTATTTGGTTCGTCATTTTATCATCATTTTTCTTACCTTATCCTACTCCTTTTAGTTTTCGTCCTCCATATAACTCCTATCATCCGTCATCTCAGTCGTCACTCCCTTCATGATCATGTTACCTTTAACGCAACCCATCTATCTCTTTCCAAGTCTACTTCTAGCGATGTAACACACTCATAACTAACGTCCTTCTTGTTACATGCGATTCATCCCTCCTAATAACATGCCCATACCACGCTAACCTTCTACTCTTTATTTTTTATTTCTCTACCATTTCTGTTTTGTTTCATTTCGTAAATATAAAATTAATAATAACGTCAGGATTTCATATACGGATCACATTGTTAACATCAGATGGTGTTCGCGTAATGTTTTGACACCAAGTGGGAGTCACGTAAAAAAATGTTCATGCTACTTTTACAAGCAATACGTAAAATTGGTGGGTACTTTAGAGTTGAGGGAACATTTTGCGCATTTGCATAAGCTTGGGAACGTTTGCGACGAAAATAGAACGCTTGTCCCCGTCTCCCTGAATTTATTTAACATCCCGGGAGTGGGTGGACGCTTATACAGCCCCTGATAGTTCTTCGTATTTATAATGTTAGCAACTTGGGATTTTATTCCTAGAAATCTTTTCAGAGATATGAAACATCGTATACAAGTTCTTAAGACCCGAAGCGTAATATAAGGTACTATTTACTTATAAATATCAACTTTACTAATGTTATAAACGTGAATGTTTAGATGGATGGATAAATGTTGGATAGAGTTTATAGTCTAAACAGCTGGCCGGATCTCGATAAAATTTGGCACAAATCAAGATTATTGTGTAAAAGGTTTTTTGCAATTATTTAAATTTAAATTTATTTTAAATTGCATAGTGGGTAGTTTGAAATGTAAACATCTTTTTACTTTGCTCCGTCACAAAAGTTGTCTTTAAAATTATTTTAACTTATTATTAAACGACTAAAAGTAGTGTAATGTGATCAGAAACCCCTTGTGCACTAAGTTCAATAATTATCTCCGTATATAAACACTAACTATGGATATCTACAATAAGTTGAGTGAGTCGATGAACAAACTTGAAACACTATTCCAGTCACGTATGACCCAGTATGAATCCGAGCTGAAGATGGCTGCGACAGGTGACTCACAGAGTGCCCACAAGACTATTGCTGGCCTGCCACGGGATTTCATGGAGTTCCGACACCTCATCTGGCAAACTGTGAGCACACTTAAAGATCAAATGGAGTTGGTGCTGCTGGGCCTGGACAGGCTCGAGATGGCATCCCGTTCCAAGGTGCTGCTATTCCATGGGATATCAGAAGAAGATAATGTGACACAAGAATCTCTCATTCTACATACTCTGAACACCAAAATGAAATTGTCGACGGTCGCAGCTGAGGACATCGTAAAGTGTCACCGATTAGGTGCCACTTATAGTACCGGTAAGCCTCGCCCCCTCCTGGTACGGTTTCAAAACAGCCGGCTTCGTAACCTAGTGTGGAGTGGTAAGACGTCTCTCAAGGGTTCTAAGATTACCCTGTCGGAGTTCCTAACAAAGCCGAGGCAAGAGGTGTTTATGCAAGCAAGAAAACATTTCGGAATTCGTCGCTGCTGGACATCAGATGGTCGTATTGTCGTCCTCCTTCCAAATAAATTACGGCACAAAATTGAGACAGAAGCCGAATTGGCGACCCTGATGTCTCAACATCCAACTCCTGCAGCAGAGGATTCATCAAAGGCAACGAGCAGTGGTTCAGAGGTGCCGAAAAAGACTGGTTTTGGTTCTAAACGCCTTCCCAAGTCCAAGTAATCACGTATGTTTTTATTTATGTTCTTAAAATAAGCTCATCTTAATTTTTACATACATATAACTATGTTTTTATTGTTGTATTAATTTATATAAACAAGCACAAATCATGTTTAAGTTTGTCTCTTATCTATTATTAGTTTTGTTATATAACTTTATTCTTTTCTCTTATCTAAGTGACGGTATATTTGTATTCGCACACTTTGACTATTAAAGACAGGATTTGACAAGCGTGCTCATTCTACTTCATGAATTGTAATACACAACCAATAATAAAATATTGCCCATGAGAGTGTTATGATTTCCTAAATGACTTGCTAGTGTGCTCAAATTAAGTTAGCGTATAAGTGCTTTTTATTTTTTGTATTAGGTTAAGCCAGTGTGCGATTACAAAGTTAATAAATATTCAATATTATATTTGTTGTACAATTTAAAACTTTATTTCTCCACTTTTAAGTTGTGGCATAATTTGCATAGTACAACTGCTGGTATGGCGCTTTTGCCAAGTCTATTTTCTATATAGTCGAAGTACGCATCACAGCGGTGGTTTGTTTACATTATTTTTACATTACTGTATGTAGGTAGAATGGTGCGACGCGCAGCCGTGCCTAAACCGGGCTGCATGAATTATAATCGCTGTTTTACTTAAATGAGAATGATGAGCGATATGTCGATTGTTACGAAATCTTTTTTTTTTTTTTGTTTTTTCGTTGGCGTACCTTATCTAAATATGTAATATTATTGTTCTTATTTTTAGTCAATTTCACTTTTAATAGTGTAAAAACTATATCGTCATGTTCAGTTAGACGCTTTTGATTGTTATTCCTATTTTTTTTTATTAATATAGAAATGATCACCTGTTAATTAAATTGTCATGGTTTATCTTCATTATTACTAATTTTTGATTAGATAGAATTGTTAGTTAACTAATTTTACTTTATAAAGATCGTAGTTAGATGTATAAAGTAATTAGTGTTAGTGCACTAAAGGGTTGTTTATTGCTTATTTATATTATTTTTTGTTTTAATGTTTTTTTTTCTTTGTATAATTTTACTTTTTAAATTAGATATTTTTCAGTTATTTAAAATAGGTATTTTTTTACTTATTACTTATACTTATATTTAGTAGTATATTCGTAGTTATTATTCATGGAAATGGATTGCTTCGATGATAGTTTTTTCTCTTGTTCCTCTAACTCGTCGGACACAGTTTATGAAAGTGCTGGCAGCGATGTTGACTCGCCGCTGCGAGATCAGCTTGCGGCTCAATTCTCCTCCTCCCGGGGACATCTTAATGTAGTAGACATCAATGTACAAAGTGTTCATGCGCATTTTCCAGACTTACTCGCCTCGTTCGACTCTGATGTAGTCGATGTTATTCTTCTATCAGAAACTTTCTTGAAACCATCACTGCCCTCAGCGCAATACGCGCTCCCTGGCTATAAGCTTATTCGGAATGACAGAGTCAGTAAAGGTTATGGTGGTGTTGGTTTGTATCTGCGTAGCGATTTTCCCTTTACGGTAGTGGATCAATCTTCGTCGGAATATACTGGTTTTGCAGAACACCTATTTATAGAAATCGTCTGTCATCACTCTAAAATATTGTTGGGCGTTTACTATAGTCCCTCACTCCGGGTTGACTACTTTAGTAGTCTTGAAACCATATTAGAAAACCAGTGTCTCCAGTATGACGACGTTGTTATCCTTGGAGACTTCAATACCTGCCTGGTAAAAAATGATGAGCGCAGCAATAAACTTCTTTCCCTTGTTAGCTCCGTAAATATGTCCATACTCCCTCTACAGCCTACTCACCATTCTCCGCATTCCACCCCGTCCCTCCTTGATCTCATCCTTGTTTCAAATAAAGATAAAGTCCTTAACCATGGTCAACTTTCTGCTTCCTTTTCATATCATGATCTTATTTATGTTTCTTACAACTTACGTAAACCTAAACCTAAAGCTAAATACATACAACTTCGCAACTATCAGAATATTAATTTGGAATGCCTAAAAAAAGATGCCGCTAATATTGACTGGACCCCATTATTTAATTGTACGAACATTGACGAAAAGGTGACAATATTTAACGAGTTACTCACTGGACTGTATGACAGGCATGCGCCAAATAAAAAGATTAGAGTTAAATATCAACCTGCTCCTTGGCTTACTGACAAAATAAAAACACAAATGT